CCGCGGGACGTGACAAAACGTCGGCATGTTACGCCTCGGGAGTGAGAACGGGCTGTTATGCAACAACTATATTTCTCCTCTAATTCCAAAAGGCACAAAAACAGCACTGTACGTGAGTAAAGCATGGTAGTGGTAGCATCATGCTTTGGAGCTGTTTTTTCTTCAGCCGGAGCTTTATGCAAGGTGAAGGGAATTACAAACCGTTTCAGATATTTGTCAGTTTTGATACAAATCTTCAGGTTAGACAGATGAAGATGAAGAAGGGTTTTGCCTTTCAGCACAGCAATGACCCAAAGCATACAACAGAAAGACTGGCTTCACCAGAAGAACATCAAAGAACATTAAAGTTTTGTAACAGCAAAGCCAGAACCCAGACCTGAACTCAGGTGAAAATCTGTGGGATGAGTTGAGGAGGACCGTGCACAAGAGATACTCTCGCGCTTGGACAGATTTGGAGTGGGGGCAAATATTGCCAAGTTGCGATGTATCATGGTGATAGACGCCTACCTAAAAAGCAAGAGGTGCTTCAAGCAAGCATTAATTAACTTTGTGAATGTTTATGCAACCAGGCTATTGTAAGTTTAAACAAATTAAAAGGTATAAATGTGTTTTTGAATGGAATTTTATGGGTTATGGATCACACTGAAGGTGTAAAAAATCCTTGACACAATTTATTTTTAATAACAAAAGCCTGGCATTTTTACAGGGGAGTGTAGACTTTTTATATCCACTGTAAATATGTGACAGAGGAGGAAGGATTTTATGTTCTGTCTAAATGAGATGCTGTACTGCTACAGCATTATGTGCCTCAGGTGTGGAGGTGCTCCTGTGTGTTTGCGTTTGTGTGTGTGTGTATTTGCGTGTGTGTTTTGCACTCCTGCGAGTGTGTTCATCAGCGCTCAGTACCTGTGATATCCTCAGGGTACACAGCCTCCCACTTGGCAGAGAATCCGCGGTCTGTGAGGCGACTGTCAGACTGGAAGGTCACAGATATCGTGTCACTGGCGCTGACCACCACTGGGGGAAGGATGTAGCCACAGTGTGTACCTGGATCAGCGAGAGGAAGGACAGAGGAAAAAGGGAAGGTATGAGAGAATGAAACAAAGCAGAGGAGAGAGAGACAGTAACATCAGCTTCTAATGAGCAAAACATGTTGCAAATTAAGACGAACCCTTCACTAAGTTCAAAAAATCAGCATACATTATTGGCAGATACACATGCCACATTATTAGGAACATCTGACTTGGATTACAGGACTGCCATATTGACGTGACAGAACCATGCACTTGCTGTTGCTCAGCTAGTGACTGCGGAGGCCATCTGAGTCAAGTGAATCGCATGCAAGAATCCAGTCCAAGATGGTATGTGCTTTGTGACACGGCGTGTTATTAATAGATCCATATACAGTGGTCATACAGAGGCATGGTCAATGAGGGACGAAGTATGCCAAGAGTATATCACCACGAGCTTGAACTCATGACATAATTCAGGATGAAAATCTGACACCACCAGCTGAATATCACAGCAGAAATAAAGTATTCAAGCCTGGCAATGTTTTTCTTACCTTCCGCTGTCGTATGCTTCTGTAGTTCACTGATGAGCTTTCAGAGTCTTTTTATTACCTCAAACCTGTCGTGTTGTTCTTCTCTGACCTTTGCAATCAACAAGGCATCTGTTTGAGATCATTCTCTAACAACCCTACTGATGGCTGTGAATGAAAATCTCAGGACTGCATGATGTGCCGCTAACATGATGCATGGTGTGGAGGACGTTGTGTTAATTACTCTGACTGCAACTCCATAGATACATATTGTGAGCACGATGACTTATGAACAATTCACACTAGACACTTTATCTTTAAACCAGAGGTACTTCATATGGACTACATGAGCTGATTTATTTGATCCCCTGCTGAATTAGTGACATTACTCACTTATAAACAAACGAAAAGTCTCTACTTTTGATTGTAATTTCATTTTTATGAAGGGAGACAGAATAACCAAAAGTTATTAATTGATTTGCGTGTCATTGAGTGGAATTATTTGAATCCCAAGCACAACATGCTCACTCCTGTGAGGTTGAATAATCCTTGTTGACAAGCACAGTGGTAAGGCATTTATTGTAATCTTTCACCAGGTTTTCAAACATCTCTGTTCTAAATCCTTTAGCTTTCTTGACTGCCACTTGTTAACGCAAGAATTTCTATAGGACTGAGCTCTAGGTAGACGACTCCATGTCCTTAATGTGCTTCTTCTTTAGCCACTCCTTTGTTGCCTTGGCGATCTGATTTGGGTCATTGTCATGCTGGAAAACCCATCCACGACCCATCTTCAGTGTGCTGGCTGAGGGAAGGAGGCTGTTCTCCTCTATCACCCTGGGTCAACACACCTGAATCGCATGATTAGTTTGTTACCAAGCCTCTGGGGAACTTCAGGACATGATGAGGAGGTCATTTAGCCATTTGAATCAGCTGTGTTGGACACTTAAACATAAATATACTAATATACAAATTATACTAATTTGTGACCATTAGAAAATAGCAAGAAAGTGAAATGCTGAAGCACAGTCAAAAAACAGTATTTTGATACAGTCCTCCTTGAAATTATTTTAGAAGTTAATGAATCTTTCACAACATCCTGCTTTTGGGCGTAAAGAACACAAGGACTTTTGTCATATTTCTAATTGTTATTTTTCCTTTGTGTTTTGTGCACAGAAACATATGCCCTAATCTAAAAGTATGCCCCACTAAAACACCATTTGCTTATCTGTGAGTGTTTCACGGAAAGAGTGCATCTCAGTGCTTTAGTCCTTGAGTACTGAGCAATAGATAAAGCTGTATCAGCCTCACTGCAGCCCCTGAAGTGAATAATGAGAGGTAATTTATAGTTTGCTGTGCTCTGTGCGACCCAACTCCTAATCAACAGATTTACAGACGCAGCAGAGCGTCTGCAATAAACACAAGCCAGCGGCCTCACATTCATGTGCTTCTCTCCCAGGTCAACCGAGCTAAATTGCAAAAAAAAAAAAAAAGCATGCAGCATGTAGTCAACCAAGATAATGCAAGAATAAAATAGAAGTAATGGCTCACCTAGAGTGCTGTATTTGTCTGAGATGATCAGTTTGTCCTCTTTGCACATTCCAGTCTGTCCTGTGATGGCCAAGTCAGTGATCTGTAACTTAACCATGAATCCTTTGGACACAGATATCTCCCAGGAATTATTTAAATGGGCAGGATATGGATTTGGGAAACCTGATGACTGAAGAACTCCTTTACGTCCATCAAGGATTACTGGGCCACCAGGTCCTGTAGCGAAACCAGCACTTGGTAATACTCCTTTCTTGTTTTGCTAATGTTAAAATCTGTGATTTTTGAGCACCGCTTATTGTCAATTCAGTATAATCAGTTTGCTTTAATGCACAACTCCCCCATGAAGGGGGGGGGGGGGGGGTGTCAAGCTTTGGAGAGGGTGCTTACCTGAAGTTGTGGTAGGTGGAAAGGTTTGTGTGGGGTGTGCGGTCGTGGTGGTGGTAACAACAGGAGGAAGGCTGGACTTTGTGTACGTTGCACTGAATCCTTTTGAAGTCAGACTGTTGTCAGATTTGAAGCGGACCACCATCGTGTTGCTGCTGATTTCCAGCGGCTTCGGCATGGTTCCGCCACATAATTTACCTGTGATGGATTACACATCTGTGACAAAGCGATAGACACTTACGCAGCCTTGTGTAAGAACAACAGCTTTGACAATGGTAGCTGCTACGTGTTGCTTGAGAAGTGAAGTCAGATGGAGACAGATTTAAATTCATTAAGATTAAAATAGACTCGAGAAACTTGGCCAATTGTACAGCTTCTCAAACTTTTAATTGAGCTCATCTTTTATTCATGGCCCTACAAAGTTGACATTGTTAATGTTGAACAAAGCCCACAGTCTATTCTGGCATTTTAACACATCCCGTTTTCCTCTTAGTCACATATCCAGCTTTGATGTAAACTCTACTGATGAGTGAAAACATTTTGGTATGTAAAGAAGAACTGTGGATTTTGTTTGTAATTTGTGCCATGCTTACCTGCTAACCTAGGGCTGGTGTGGTTGTAATCATAGACCTGAACAAAGTCTCCACAGGCTTCAGGGACCAGGTCAAAAGAGGTGAATGTCAGTCGGACCGTTTCATCTTCAGGCACTGTGATTCTCCACTGATTTTAAAGAGCAAACGCAAGAGTGTGAAAGGCTGTGTCTGCTATGGATTTAAAGAGAGACTATTATGCTAATTTCCAACTCCACATTTATCATTCTTGGACTATAGTACAGTAGCTTTTCACCATTTACTTCGTTGCAAACAAGACATTTTAACTACTCCCCATTTAAGCCAACTGCATTCTGATTGGCTGCCCCTTGCAAACAGGTTTAGGTGGACCCTGAAAGGACCATGTTAAGGAAATCCCCTCTTATTGACATCAGCAGGCCCAAGAGTAGAAATAACTGTGTGAAGTAGTGTGTTCAGAGCAGTCTGAAACACTAGCTTTACTTGCAAATACACTGACATTATTCTTTTAAACACTGACCATATTTAATATGAGCATCCATCATTTCAACTGATGGAAAATGACAAAAGGCTTAATATTTGCCCTATACAATCATTTTGATGTAGTTTCAGTAATGCACAGCGCAGCCATCTGCATCACTCCTCATGTTCTCCTTCTACTAGTCTCGTGGTTTCAACATAGGCTACTGTAACTCATAAATAATTCTCTCACCGACTCTGCTCTTGTTTGGACAGACGGTGATCTGTCGAGCTCAAGCTCAGCCAGATGAAATCATGGTGACAGCCAAATAATGCCATATGACTCCACATCCAAACCCAGCATGCAAAGCCGCACATCCGAATACACTCTGATTTATTTAGATGCATTAATGAAGGATCAGAACCACAAACGCCATCTGGGTGAGAATCGGAAACGTCTAGGCTCGTCTATGCTAATACATCACTGTCGTCAATGTTATATGAGATATTTAGGATATTTAGGAGTATATATCTTTACCAATCCACTTTTGGCAATTAGATTTATTTTTGATTAGATTTTAAACAAAAAGCCCATAAATGATGTTCAAAATTAGGCGTAACCTATATCCTATATAATAATATATATCTATTCAAACAGACAACAGTTTCAGACATTAGTGGCATTTATAGGAAGCAGTAAGAGCACATTTTTACTATTTGCAATTACTTGCCTTGTTTAAATGTTAAACTCAAAGCCTCCTATTAGTCTGACTTTAAAGTTTTAAACATGTTTACCTCTGTTGCTTATCTGGTCACATCAGTTTAATATCCTAAATGAGATATTTTTGTAGATGTGTGTAAACAACTAAATCTCTGCACATACAAATGTGCATAAGGCTCTTTTTAATTTTCCTGAATTAGCTGTGTTTACGCTGCCACTGGATCTGAACACTGTAACTGCATTTGAAAGTCAGATACAGTGCTTTAGGAAATCGCTGGAGCTTGGCTGCTTACTTACTGGGTAAGTGCTCCAGCAGCTCTCTAATGATGTTAACTTTTATTTTTCAGATTCCTTTTTGTGTGCGGATCAAACAAAACCGACAAACACGTTAATTACTGAATTTTAGACGTGTGTTTTCGAGCCTTGGAGACGGGCAGGGTGGTTCGTTTGTTTTTTCTTTATGCTAATCAGGCTAATTATCTAAGTGGGTTTATTACGACCGACCTCCTTCAGCTGTGCATGGAAATTGAAATCTGATATAAAAATGTCAGTTATAGCCGCTGTATCATACTGCAGTATGATACAGTCATGTAAGGGTCATTGGTGCTTCCTCAGATGATTCATATATGTTGATGATTGTTATATTTGCTTTTAATTGGCCTGTTTTCTCATTTCTAATTGCCCTTATTTCCCAGTTTTATATCCTTCTGCTGTCAGTATTACTTCACCTTATATAGTTTCATTTTTATGTCTTCATACAGTTTTTTATGGGTTACTTGTTTCCTGTCTTGTCCTGTGACGATGCATTAGATTTTTAACTGTTTTTAATGGTACAATATAAATTAAATTATTATTATTATTATTATTATTATTATTATTATTATTATTATTAGTATTAGTATTAGTATTAGTAGTAGTAGTAGTATTCAGATGTATAATTTCAGTCTTAACCTCTTAAGCCCCAACGCCCCCTGATACGGGGGCAAAAAGCAGGAGATCAGGTAGGCTTGGGGCTTAAGAGGTTAATGAAATGCTGTTGGATCTGAGCTGGTGTTTGTGTCTTTTAGTTCATGTGTGTGGCTCTACCTGGTATAGCGCTCCGTTCGGGTAGTTTTGCTCTGGGAAGCCGGGCGTCATCAGATTCCCCTGATCACCTTGGAGAAAGCCGCCGGCTCCGGCTATTTCTGGCAGCAGGGATGAAGGGCACTTTATTTCCACAGATAGTGCAAGGATACCCACAGCACACCCCTCCACCTACCCACCCCAGTTTTGATCGACCATCTATTACCCCTCGTCTCACCTTGCACCCATCCCTACAACATTCCCCTTCCAGCTCAATCGTGTAACGTAAGACAGAGATCCAACGTTATGTCAGGCTTATTTCCTCGATGAAGTAATTTCTTATAGTCTTACCTGATGCGAGCTGTGGAGCCACAGCTTTGTAATGAGCCTTGAATCCTCGGTCTGTTTTTCTGTCATTGGTGTCAAAGTAGACCGTCAGCTGGTTTGTCAGCGACACCACTGGGTTCGGTTTATTGTAGCCACAGTATTTACCTACAAATATCACAGATAAGATGTAGCTGGTTCATAATAGACAGCTCTAAAGTTACAATGATCACAAACAAGCACAACAAGACCACACAGTGAACAAAAAAGGGGAAAAAACCTGAATGACCACAAAAGGGGTAAATCATTGCTTTCAGTCCGAGTGTCTCTTTTATGTGCCGTGTTGGAGTGATCAAAAGTCTTTTACATGCATGTGTCAGAGGGAGGTACAAATAGCACTTATTAACAATTATGATGTCAGATTAGAATGACTTGAGGGGGTAGGGACAAATAAGTATATACTGCCTACTCCTTTTCAAACAAATAATAGAATGATATTTTGTAATGATTGCGAAGGCACATGTTTGAAATAAACTGAACTGAACTGAACTTAAAGCTGTTTATTTTGCATCAGTTTATCACAACAAATGACATTGAGTTATGTAATATGTATGTAATAAATGAGGGCTTTATTGTAGTGTTAAAGACTTACAGTAGAACAATGGACACTGATTTGAATAAGCTTTGCATTTTATTTCTATATTTTTTCATATTTTTTCTTGACAAATTGTAGTTTGCAAATTAATCATGTTTTGGAATATTTTCAGTGTTGCATTTAGCAAGTTTAGAAGTTCCAGAGTTTGATTATCAGATCAAATTATCCGTGGCACTTATCTCTGAGTGCTTTCACTTGATATGCTTATCTCCCTTTTTCACAGAGGTGGCATTTACAGACCTCTTTGAACTCTTTGTATGATGAAATGGTTTTACAATTAGCAGCCCCATCAGGTTTGATCTTTTTTCATGTATTTTACTTTTTTTAAAGTCAAAATATATATATGAAATACAGAATTTCCCCTAAGGCCAAATATATTTGACTTTACTCTTTTACTTCACTTCTTCTTTGTCTTTCAGCTGCTCCCTTTAGGGAGGCCTCCATCTCACCCGAGACACACCTAGCATCCTCCTCTGTCTCACAAACCCTATGAGTTTCCCTCTTTCCTTCTGCCCGGCAGTTCCTCCTGTCTCCTTCTCATTCACACACATGTATTCAGTCGTGCTTATGTCTCTCCAGTGCGCACTTCCTCTCTTCCACCTGCTTCCTGGACTTATTGCAGATCACAATGTCATCTGCAAACATCACAGTCCACAGAGACTCCTGCCTGAACTCAACTCAACCTGTCCACCTAATTTCCCAAATATAGTCCCATTCTTTAAATCTGTGCCCTAGTCTGGCAACACCAAATCCAAGTTCATGATATTATTCCTTCCTAATAAACTCTGCTGTGTGGTTAAAAACAGTGTTGGAGTTAGTGCAGAGTAATGTGCACTGAACCAGCGTGACCGTGTGTAGCTCACTAGCTGAGTCTGCCCGTGAAAGGATGAAACCCTTAGCCTTGAAAGGGCAGATGCCCATCTGTCCAGAAACTGAACACAATCTTTTAAAAATAATTTCCTATCCCCCACCCTGCCAGAAGGCTGGAATTTATGTGTGATATTTACCGATGATTCCCACTGAGTCTTGCAGTGTGATAAAGTCTGCTGTGCAGAGCTGGGTGTCCTCCAAGGCAAACTCCTCAAACCACAAATGGATCACCTGCAACACAAACACGCAGAAGTGTTTCATCTTTCTTTTTTGAATCTGAGAAGGCGCTGCTGAAGAGATAGGCGAGCGTGAGAGCTCGGTGTGAATTCTGACTGTGCGCGTGAGCACGTGTGCGAGAGCAGGTTTTATGTTCGCTTATGTGTTCAAATACAGAGAAATAGAGATGCATATAGATAACAGCCACTGTGTCGGGCATGCAGGAGGGCAGCCGTGCTGCCAGAGAAAGAAGGATCAAAGATTTGTTTTGTCCTCTGGGTCTGAGAAGGAAAGCTGAAGAGAATGAAGGAGACAAGGCAGCCATCTGTCCACACCGCTGCCACCGCACTCATCCCAGCTGTCCTCTACTGCTTGGCCTCACATAAGACAGTTTCCATAACAGTAATGTGACAAACTCTGCTGATCAGACAGCAGACAGAAGCACCGTTAAAGACTGTGAAATAGAGACACGAGTAAATGGTTTTGATCTGAACTAAAAAGAGAGATAATGTGACTGTGCTGAAACTGGTGTTCACAGGAAAATCATTTCAGACACTTAGAAGCCTGGAATTTTTTTCCCTTTATACTATAATAATTTTTTGTTTTTTAAAAAAAACTTCTGATAAAGCCTTTTTATGGATGGAGTTACAAAACCAAGACCAGCCGTGAAATCATCTCAAGAGAAGCGTTGTGGAGTTTTCTGAGCCACTATTACAGAGAAAACTCACCTCTGCTTTGCTTGAACCTGATCATAATAAGCCACTGTAATTTCTTGAATGTGTAAATTAAAAGGATTACAGCTGTTAAGATTGATTAAAATTTTTAGATTTTAAACTCTTGTTGGAGTTTGTTTACAGCTTCTTTGTTTTTCAACTTTTCTTAATGCATAATTAAATTTTCTTTCTAATTTTACTTTCTGGTGATATAATTTAAAGAGAGGCTGAAGATCGGAAGCGCTCTGATGATGATTCTCGTCACCTTCTCAGGGTCCACGGTGATGTGCCAAGCGCAGCTTTGGCCACTGTCGTAGCTGCTGGGGTAGTTTGAGCTGGTGAAGGTGCCCGACTCTCCAGACAGCTCTTGAGGAGCCCCACACCCTAAGGTCAGCCCTGGAAATACATCAGATGGTTAAGCTCAGCCATCTTTTTTTTCTTTCTTTTTTTTAAATCATGGCAATATGATCTCCATTTGAAATACAGCCACCCTTCATCAATTAACAAAACACCGTTCAATTCTATTCACTTCATTTTTATTCATATGGAGGCAAATCACAACAACAGTCACTGTACAATAACAAAAAAACGCTCTTCCTGTGCACTCTGTAGCTCCTGGATTCATTTGTAGATTGCAGCATTAGGAGCCTTTGAGCTGACTGCGACAGCTGATTGCTGCGCTCTTATACCCAGTGCAAACCAGGAACCTGCTAAAGCAATTATCCTTCCTTAAAGACTGTGGGGTTTATACCCAGGGATTTGGGTTTTTCACTTCTTGACTCTGAATCCCGTTTCTTTATTCAATCCTCCTTTAGTTAATTTTTTGCTCAGCTTAATAGTTTGTATAGGGTTTTGTTATGTGTCAAATTTGTATGTTAGTGTCATTGTCTCTGTGTTTTGATGACTGAGGTGGACTGGAAAAGTTATTTTTCAGGTATTTGGTTCTAAATAAAATGATATGTCGTATAGTATGCAGTCGGGCTGGGTTTAATTTGACAGTCATTTTTGCAACACGCTGACTCAAGTGTGTTGTCAGTAAAGGCATGACCATTTATGATCGCGCAAACACTTAAACACTTGAATTTCTTTTTATTAAAAAACACTATAAAGGCATGTGATTTTAAAGTCGAAGCCTTGGTGACAGCATGTTGCCAGAGAAGCTTCGGTCACAGCGTCTTTTTTTCTGTGGTGCAAAAGAAACACTCATCTGTAACAGAGTTTTTTCATGAGATTTATGTATTTGTTAAAGTGATGAAGACCAGGGGAAAATAATAATAATCACACAGTAATTCCTGATCAAATAGTCAAACGTGCAGCACACTTATTTGACAGCTGTTTTTCAGGAGCGAAGCACCAACTGATGAGTAACGTAAGAATCCATTTGTTTCTGCTGATAATCACCACTTTACGCCTCTCAGGCAACAAACAATTCAGGGTTCATTCTCCAAAGACAAAACAAGTCAGCTTAAATGTGTCTGCTTTCACAAAGCAGCCATTTTTATCTATTGAATTTCTTTTTTCACGCTTAAGGCCAGAATGAATGATTGTTTTGCTAAACTGGAGCTCTGAAAAAATAGGGGAGATGGTGTCTGTGGATGGTATTATAGTAAGGACCGCTGCAGTGGTGATGATGCATGCAATAAAATTAAACACAGTCATTTTGCGATACCGAGAGCTCCTGTTTGTGCACCTTTTCTTGTGTGTTGCTTAATTTCTTGGGGATCAGAAAGTAAAAGCCCCTGTAAAAACCACTGCATGACTTGTTTACTTTTTCACATCAGCAAAAACTCATGTAGGCTTTTCTTACCTTTATTTCCATAACAGCAATTTATTAGCACTGGTTCTTACATTTTCTGTTGCCTTGAGTCTGTTTCCTGCTCCGGTATTTGCTACAGAAAATGCTGTGGAAGTCTTACAGCCAGCCCTCCGGTCTAAGAGTGCACTGTGAGACTGTACCTTGCCCTAAATGCTGATCTCAGCATGTTAACTTGGTCAAAGTTGAAGGTTTTACTCTGTTTGCATGTTTACACTTCAGTACAGTTGAGCCTGGCATTAGTTCTTAAGGTATTTGTAAAAAACAAATAATTTAATGGCTTTAAAATGTTTTATATGCATGTTTATATAAAAAAGGGGAAAAAACTTTAGTAATAATATTTTTATAGTTTATAATATAATAGCTGCTGAGATACTTTTCAGTCTGGGCCAAGGTGCAACTTCCAGAGTTGAAAAATTAAGCCAACACCAAAGTGTTTGGAGCTCCACTTCCTCTCTGTGCTTCTTGTAAATGGCCTGTATTTGTATAGCGCTTTACTAGTCCCTAAGGACCCCAAAGCGCTTTACACATCCAGTCATGCACCCATTCACACACTGGTGATGGCAAGCTACATTGTAGCCACCCTGGGGCGCACTGACAGAGGCGAGGCTGCCGGACACTGGCGCCACCGGGGCCTCTGACCACCACCGGTAGGCAACGGGTGAAGTGTCTTGCCCAAGGACACAACGACCGAGACTGTCGGAGCCGGGGCTCGAACCGGCAACCTTCCGATTACAAGGCGAACTCCCAACTCTTGAGCCACGATCGCCCCGATTCTTGAGGTAGTCTATCATTTTAAAATGTCTGACTTTTTAGAATTAAAAAAATATATTTACAGCCTGGTATAAAAAACAGTTTTGGTTTCTATGGATACTTATAACAACTCTGAGAAGGGTGAATTTTTTTTCTTATAAGTCATCTACTTATATACTGGAGTTAGAGGCCTGGCTGTGTTGATTCACAGGTTTGTGTGTGTGTGTGTTTGTGTGGGGTTAAAGTATTTTGGAGCATCTTAATGGATTTTCTGACTAACATCATGGTTTGTTGTATGGTACAGTCTGTTGTGTTTAGATGATATGTGCATCTCTTACATTGTGCCCATGCAATTTATGAATGCAGCTAGCTAACCAAGCTAGCTATTATTGGCTAAAAATTGAATGTAGCTGTACCCTAAAAGGAAATTCCAAAAACAGCATTAGTCCAAACCCAATGGGTGACGTCTGCCTGTGAAGTAGCTGAAGTATCTTTAGGCAAATACAGAACCTTGAGTTGCTCTCAGTGTGTTCGTTAGAGAAGCAATGTTGGGTAGAAAGCACGTAGGTGCAGAATGCCCAAGCAGGAAAGTGCTATATTAGAATCAGTTCAGACAGCAGATGCAATCAAATCATTATTATGATGATACATGATGGTTATTTTTGTACTTTGCAATAATTACTTCAGATATTTTAGATGCATTGAGAATTTTAGCTCAGTACATTCACTTTGGCATGTCTCTGTATACTGGCTTTGTTCAAATCAACAGCTGAACAATTATTGACCAGTTATTTACCAGCAATAAAGATATTTTATTATGTATCAGCAATCTCTGCAAAATCTCCACGAGGTTTTCAAGAAAGAGTTACGAGATGCAACATGTGTCATTCACACACGTTCATGGTCAGTACACCAAACTTGTGAATATCAAAATTTGCCTAAAAAATGTTGGAATTTACATCATAAATAAGGACTAAGTTAAAAAAATTATTTATGATTTTTATTTTAGAAGAACATAATCAAGTATATAAGAGGTTTGAGAAAATCCTCAGCACAATATCGCTTCTCGTTTTGAAGCACCTCAGGGAAATGCTGATATTAAAAGGGAGCACGGTGTGTTTCAGCGGGTGTAAACACTCACCTTCTGTTTCAGAGTCAGCTTTGTCAACAAAGTAGATGACCACAAGGCCGATGCAGGCACCGGTCATTGCTACGAAGATAAATATCAGACCTATTTCCAGGGTGCTCATACCCCGGGAATGTCTGTGACCCTTCTCCACATCCATTTTCCTCGCAGTGCAGGAGACGGTGCCTCGTCCAACAATTCACCCCCTTATTGGCCACACATTGAGGACCATGTCTAAACTTTAACACCACAGATGGACCTTGAGCTCAGTCAGATGTGGTATTGCAGCACACCAGCCCTATAGATATGTTAGAGCCATAAATTTGTATCACATAATACAGTAACAGAAAGTTAATGAGTACTGAGGTGGCTGCTTCCCCAATCAACAGGTCATTAGGACTCTATCTTTAAAAAACACTGATATAGTTGATAAAAGGCAAAACCTCTGACAAAAAGAAGGAAATTTACATGCATGCAAGGATTATTTTATTTCAGCTGGTCATCACAATCAAAAAGCTGGAGTTCTCATGCAGAAAATTCATTATCTTGCATGTTTAATTTATAGCTCTTCCACACACTACACTCAGCATGTAATTCCCTGCTTGTCAACAGATTTTAATCAGCAATAAACCTTGAAACAGAGGCTATCAGAGCTGTACAGCTACCATGTTGGACACTGGTAAGGCTTTGCTGGACTCTTTTTGCTGTGCATCTGCTAAATGCTCACATTAGCACGATAACACATTTTGCAGTAATATGTACCATGTTCACGCTCTTGGTTTGGTGTTAGCATGCATGTGCTAATAAGCACTAAACAAAGGACAACCAAGGGTGATGGAATCTCCTCTGTTCTGAATGTTTTATATGTTTTATTTTTAAGGAACCTGATGAACATTTTTTCTTAATAGTTTTGATTATATTTCACCAGATGAAAAGTCAACACATCAAAGCTTTCCAAAAAAAGTGCCAATTGACCAGTTTTCAGATCCACAGGTGTCTCTCATGATCGGTGAGACATTTCAGGAACGAAAGAGAGTCGTAGTCGATGTGTTGTTACTGACAGAAGATGAGGGGACATTTAGTTTTTATTATAAACTCCCATTGTAATGCGCCTAGTTGTTAAGATATTTCACTCTTGGTGGCACTAAAAAAGGCATCAAAATCTATAAAGTTTGTCTCTGGGAAACACAGATGTTCAGACTATTGTCTGTTAAATTGAACGGATATTCCTACGCCACAATCCTGGTAGAAATAATGGCACAGCTAGAGGCCCAATAAATGCATTTGATAAATTGGCCATGATCCAGACAAAAACTGAAACTCTCCCAAATGGTGACCGTTTTGTCCATCTAAAACTTTGCTTTCACAGACCTAAAAGAGTTCATTTCTCCACTGCTTGAGGTAAAGCAGACAATGGGATTAACTTCCTTTGCGGAGGTGCAGAGAGCGCAGAGTGACAGGGGCCATGCTGTAACAAACTCACCGAGGTTAGAGGTAATGAGTTTCACAATGGGGATCTTCATTTTAGCCTGAATCTCCATGCATACAAAGACGCTTGATTGGGTTTTTATCGAAATCATCTCCTAAATTCAGTCTGACCGTATTTGAATCTGAATCAATCTGTCCGCTGGTCCCCTTTAACACTTCATTTTCTCTCGAGATAAGGACTTTCCTTCTATTTTACAAAAGGCAACGGTGTGACAAAAGCTGCTTATCTCTCCCTGGGGATGCAGAAGAAAATGGGGGGGGGGGGATATCATTCTTTAGGCAGAATGATGATTTTGCTGCAGTGTCAGAAACCTATTGCTGATGAAACTATCAGTAATTAATGACACTGTGCATGCATGATTCCTGCACTGGTGCCGCTCTCTGTGCTTCATCTTTATCAGTATTTGTTTTGGATCTTCTGGTTCCACCAGGAGACTGATTATTTATGGGCACATCTGTCAGCCATAATGAAGCCAGGAAAGGTGACCTTTGTGTGTATGACTGAGTGTGTGTGCATGTATTTTTTCTTTTTTTTCCCCTCTTCCCCTTTCTGCACATACAGTATATGCACTGTTGAAAGGTTACCAGTGCACGAGTTTGTGAGCTGAATAGTAAGCAATCAATGATGAGGTCTGAAATACATCCAAACATATGCAGAGAAGACAGGCGAAGGACGGGGTGCAGATACAGAACAGCGAAGTTTAAAGAAGAAGCACAGGAAACACGGATTGTTCGATCACACGTGCAGGCCAACACTGCACCGCAGATAAATGTAGGCCACGTATTCCACTGGGAACCGATCAGCCATCGGGAGGACAAGCCTCACTTCCAGCTATCTGGATAATACAATACGAGGATAAATAAGGGCGGGGGAGACCATTTTCATGGGAAACATTCTGAGCAGAGGAAGCCAGCAGAAGCTTTAATTACTGCACTGTTACTGGCTTATATGCTTCATTATGATATCATCGTTGCAGCGAGAAAGGGAGAGAGGGGAAATGGGGAGCTGGAGTTGAAAGGGGGTGGGCACAGTGACAAAGAGAGGCAAGGAGATGAAAGTTGGTGGTGAAAAACTGAATGGAAACGGCTGAAAATGGAGATAATCAAACAAACTTTCTAGGAAGAATGGAAGCAAAATAGGGTCATAAGTACTGTAGCTGTTTATCATCAAACCGGCAAGTGTAACAAAACCAAACAAACTATGAATATACTGAAAAGTGTAAGTGTATAAATATGTTTGAGTAAGTGTTTGAATATTTTTGAAAAAAAAGGAAGCAAATAGATGCTTTTTTGGCTCTGAGTAGATCTGTAACTGTATATGATATTTGGCGAACAAGTGAAAAAGATTTGCATGAATAATTTTCAATATGTGAGTGCATAAAGAAGATTTGCACAAAGGTTAGTAGTTTCACAGCAAAGCTTTGCAGTTACGTTACTGGAAACACAGCAGCAGTGTTATTGGAGAGTGATGGCAATCGTTGCACTGCAAACTATCATTTAATTTAGATACAGGATCTAAGTTAGACATGTGTTAGTTACACACCTTCTCTGTGTTCTCAGATATGATCAATTACTTCTGCAAATCTTTTATAAGTTTTTGTGCACAGCTACAGATCTCCTGTTTTCTACTTATTCAAACGCCTGAATTCACCTGATCAAAACATTTCAGTGCATTCACACATCTGAAGACATATATACACGAGCTGTTTTCACACACTCACTAATGGTGCATCACAGCTCTGGTGTTTCTGACGTTATTTTAAGGATATTGTCTCAATAATAAAGGAAAGGAGATGAATTTGTCACAAATTCTCTGTGATCAGCAGCCACCACTAATTACTCACTCCACAATCTCTAAATATGATCTGTAAATATTATTAGCACTCATCCCCAAGATAAGAGCACATCTAATGTCCCACAAATGATGATGAGGACATATTTTATCCCTGTGATGGTCTGGATAATAGTAATGGCTTCTTTCACGGGGCTCCTGTAAGAGTTTCTATATGAACAGGAGACTCTTGTGTGTTTATGAAGCTAACTGGGTCACCGTGAGCAGATCTCAAATCCCAATACCACTGCAACTTATCTTGGACTTCAATTATAGCTCCAAAATGATGCTGCTGCTGCCGCTGCCCTCAATTTCTTCCAGAATCCGAGGATGCTGTTGTGTATGGCGGTGTTTACACTTTGAAATGATTAAAAAACACACACACGTTCAGTGTCTTCCAAATAGGACTAAGTCAGGCAAGATAGTGTCTAATCTTCTCCACTCAAGAACATCTCATTTGGTATTTCAAAGTGCCTTCAAACACTGAGACTTCTAGACTGCTATTAATTATCCAAGTGCAGCAAAAACAGAGCAGCTGAAGGTTAATTACTTTATGCACAACTCATTTCCATAACTGTGTGCATTCTCTTCAGCATAGACTAGTGTGAATGATTTGCCTTTTTATAAGTAACAAACTGGTAAATGTTTCACTGCACACTGAAATGCCACTTTTTTTCTCCTCCTTGAAACATTGTGTCACGGTTTCAGCTCGTCAGCTCAGCCACAGTGGCGGCACCATTCGTTTCAGCATCTCAGCAGGAATCAGGTTAGACCCTAGGGCTGTAACAGAGGGACTCCTTCTTCTCATGGACTACCAGTCTTTAATTTTAGCTTATGACACAGCCTGGGAGTTTCCTTGTTAAGTGGTAACACTTGAGAGATTATTATTTCGCTACCAAGCTGTGCGTTAGGGCTGTGCTGTCGCCTTAATCACCAGTGTTTCTACCAGCACTTTGTTAGAGGTTATGCAGTCTGTGAAAATGACTTTGCACTTCATGACACACATGACGACAGAATGGCAGATACACATCACCAGACTTCTCTTACAAATACTGAACTTCAAACTGACCACCATAGTTGTCATAGTTGTTGATGCCACATGAACTGGTCCGAGTATTTCATAAACTGCTTATGTCATCTCTGGGTTGTAAACAGAGCGTTCTTTATTCTCTATACACTGATTGAAAATGCCTTGTTGGTGCCACAGGTCAGAGGAAAATGGTAAACTGCTTTGAGCTTACAGGAAGGCAACAGTAACTCAAATAACTACTCATTACAACCGATGTTTACAGAAGAGCATCTCTGCATACATCCAACTACGGCAGCAGGATTCACTCACGTCAGCTAAGAATAGGAAACTAAGGCTACAGTTCACGTGCACCAAAACTGGACAATAGACGATTGGAAAAAAGCATGAAATCCATCCTGCCTCATTTCATCGGTCCAAGCTAGCTGCTGGTGGTGTAAGGGTGTGGAGGATATTTTCTTTGCACACTTTGGAGTAAATGAGCATCATTTATGCACCTTTGCCATATCCACAGGTTTAGGTGTGAGGCAGAGCTGTGGATCCAAAAACGCAGGACTGAATTAATAATCACAGCGTTAATGCAGACATGGGTACATGACTGGGAAGGCTGAAAGACGCAGAGATGAGAATAGGGAAGACTGAGCTCAAGAGACACCAATATAGAACTTAGAACATAAACTGTGACAAACACAAAAACTGGGTTGAAGGACCAGGACCATGAGACCACAGCCTTTGAGTTTTTGCTGACCATGTCCATCCCTTTATGACCAGCAGGATACCAGATCCCAAACAAAGCTCAAATAATCTCAGACTG